TGATTGATTGATTGATTGATTGATTGATTGATTGATTGATTTAGCATCACATTGCACCATCTCCAAAGCCTGTGGCAACCGAGGTTCACCGGGAGGACCCATTTCCTTAGATCACCCACGCAGGTTATATTCACTCAAGCTGCTTGGCTAGTTTTAATCTTGGCAGGGTGTGTGTGTGCGTGCGCGCCTTAGCCCCATGTGTACATTTTGTCCGTTCGGTTAGATTGTGGCCCAACACGCTACACAGAGCCAGAAAAGCAGAAACTTGGTTAAGCAGGTTGCAAGGGCTACCACGCCTGGGTTGCGACTGCCACCTAGCGGTGATCTGCTAGCCGTGGAAAGGACACCCGTCCGCTTGGGAATCCAGCCCCAGTGCCTTTCCAGTTGAGTTTTCTGCTCCAGTCTCGATTCCCCTGTTCGAAAATCCTGAATCGAATCTCCTTTTCCAAGTTTGGTCAGAGGCCAGCTGCAGACGGACTTTCGGACGGAACGGGGATCCTGTAGCCTCCCCGCTAAACCAGGTATCTGCGCTCTCTTCGGGCACTGCAAGAACATCGGAGCTACCCGGAGCTCTTGGCAGAGGGCCAGAGCTGGCAAATTTAGCCCCACAAACCAAGCGAAGAAAAGAAGGGCCAGTTGTGGATGAAGAGACGGACCCAGAGAGGCCGAATGGACTCAGCAGTGCCAGCCCAGGTTAGCAAAAGATCACTGATGTCTTCATGCCACGTAGCGTGGCTAAGTGAATAAATGTTGTTATAGCTTCCCTCGGGTTACCAGATCTGGGAGGCATAAACTTGGGCATCCAGGGCAGCAGACCCAGAAATGCCATCCAGACACCGGGCAGCCTTCGCTCACCAGGGTGATCACTTCACACAATTCACACAAACCCAGCTCGAAGTCCCAGCCTGATTCAGACAACAGCTGGACTTGTGTAACATGCTGGACCACCCCATTCCCCGCTGGCCTGGATTTGCGCCCTGTTCTCATCCCATGCTCAGCTGGGTCAGTGAGTGGGTTAATGTGAGGAATTAACCAAGTCAAGCGACCCCAAAGAGGTTACGTTTAACCCAAAACAGACTCACTAAAATTAAAACTAGATATGGGCGAACCCGGGGTTTCTCAACCTTGGCCACTTTAAGATGGGTGGACTTCAACTCTGGGAATCGAATTCTGGGAGTTGAAGTCTGCCCATCTTAAAGTGGCCAAGGTTGAGAAACCCCGGGTTAAACCAACTCCACTAACTTGCCTACTTAGTCCTCCAAGCAAAAGAGCTGGTGACAGAGAGCGGCTACCATCCTTGGGGCAACTCTCCTTGCCCCACGGAACCCCTCCCCAAAGACTGAGTGGCAGCCGCAGCCGAGCCCCACCTTCATCTGACTGCCTGCCCAATCAGGAAGAAGCTGGTGGTGCAGCTGTTGAAATGAGCCAAGTGATGGAGGTCGCCCATCCCCTGCCTCACCCCTGCACGAACCGGGCGACCTACATGTTGCTGTTACTCATGCCGGGCCCCATGGTTCCTGGAGTCCCCACCACGGACCGGCGCGGGGTCAGCAGCAGCAGCGGCTCCAGGCAGTGTGCAAACTCAGCCCGGTATTCACTGTTGATCTGGAAGGGAGGGAGGAGGAAGGAAGAGGAGGAGGAGGAGGAGAAGAAGAGGAAGGAAGGAGGGAGGGAGATGCATCAACACCATATGCGTCATTAGATTTCCTGTCTGTGTGATCCTCTACATGATGCAGGTAAGAGCTGTATATATGAGTATGCGTGTGTATACACAAACACACACGTACACCTAGATATATAGGTGAGGGTCAGTTTTACGGGCAACGGTATCAAAAGGGGTTGCCCTGACCGCCCTCTGGTGTGTTTGTCAACTTCCCCATCTGATTTAAAGGCTTTGGATTTCCTTGTGGTCTCCTATCCAAATACTAACCCGATCTGACCCTGCTTAGCCATCTGAGATCCCCCAAGTCGGATAGGCCTCCGACTTAGTCATCCCACGCCTCTCTTTTCCCACGGCATCTTCCCACTGTTTTTTTTCCCTTCCTACGGGGGGGGTCTATTAAGCCGATCATGTTGAGCCGTTCTGTCTTCCGTCGCCGTCATTGGCGCAACTCCCACCTCCAGATCAGCTGTAAAGGTTTCCCAGCCGCATTTGCACAGCCCATTAAGCTTCCGTGGGCTGTGTGGGGGGTTCCGAAGCCCCACGCTGTCAACTCTTTTTGCTTCCAAAAGCATGCTGCTAGGCCTCATGGGAGGCACTGCGTGGGGTCTGGCCAGGGTGAAACCCTCCCGTGTGAAAAAGCGAACCCAACCAGGCCTGTTGGCTCACATCCTGCCTGAATGCAGCAAATATCCGGGTTTACCTTACCTTGCTGGTTTGCGACGGCTTCAACCGATGGGGCTGCTTGACAATCCTTTGCAGGCGCTCCATCAGTTGCTGAAATCAACACGGCGACGTTGGCCTTCGGCGCTGATAGCGGCCTGGCCATTTTCCTAGCGCCCAGCGGCCAAGCCCACGTCATGCTGCTTTCCCCCACCCCGCCCCGGCTTTATTTTTTTTTTAATTCATTGGTCAACATTTTTATTCGTTAGGTAAAAAGCTAAGCCAAGCAAAAACCAAGGATGGGAAAACAATCCACGCACGTACATCTAGTTAGCGTTACGCTCGCGGGGAAGTTGAAGGGGAAACAGAATGATCAAAAAGTAAAATGAAAAGTGAAACAGCATTTTAAAAAAAGAAAGATGGCAGGAAAAAGCTTTCGAGGAGCCCCCGTTCCTCTTCCCCTCCCCTTTTTTCCCCAGCTGCTGATGGCCAATTAAAATATTTTTATACGACGCTTTAGACATCCGCAATTGCACGGTAGCTCATTTCTCTTTGAAAGACAGAATCAAGTAAATGGTAATTAATTAATTAATT